CGGGAGCCTGAGACTTCCATAATCCGTTCCGTTCTCGAAATTCGTTCCTAGTTGACGGCTCCCTTTTATAAAGTCAGCGGATTCGCTGTCTGCTTTTTAGAAATGTTGTAAGGATACCTAAGATAAGATTTTTTAAAACTTCAATATATTAGTTCCTTATATTGAGTTTTTAGCTCTTCTTTAATTTCTATGCAAGTGTAATACAGGCACAGTTTTTGTATAAAATATGTAATATGCTGACTAGTACTTTATGCTCTACGCTGAATGAATATTCTTAATGCATAAAAAAGTTTTTTAATACTTTTACCATACCCCAAAATATATCTCAACAAACACAGTGTTTAAAAATATTTTTCTGAGTTACATATTTTATTTGAATAATACAGATACTGATGGTGATTTTCTATACACACCTTAAACAAACCATCGCCTTATTCGATAGAAGTATTATGCTTGTGAGAATATTACAAATGTGGTGTCATCTTTTCAAAAATAGTTTATAGAAAATTAGTAGAGTAGGGAATGATATTAGGAATTGTCAACAATAATTGTCAACATCATCAGCCTATTGGTGCCGACTACTGAGCAAAGGCCTCTTCTAACATGAAGAAGGTTAGAGAATTTATCACCATGCTTACTTAAGGTCGTTTGGCGATTTCTAACTTATAATTCGAAATCATAAGTCTAGGTTTCCTTACAACATTTTCCTAACCGCCTGTCAGTGGTGTTTAAATATTCTTAGAAATTAAAAAAATATTGACAGACTTAAAAGATAATCAAAAGATCTTTTCATAGAAAAACCAGACTTCTTAAGAAAATACAACCTCAAAAAGATTTAGACGATCAAAATTCAATATTATATATTTGTGGAGTGAAAATGATCACATTTAATTACCTTTAAAGTAAATAAAGAATAACTAAGAGAACCCACAAATAGAAATTCAAAGAGTTCTTTTATACAAATTCACATACAATCCTGGTAAAAGCGTAGAAAACTCAAAAAAGTATCTGCTGATTTTGCTGTATCATTTCCACGTCATAAATGGTTACACAGCTTGGGGACCTCTGTGAAAATATTTGAATACGCAATGAACTGAATCTCGATGAACTCGTATTACCGTGGTCAGCTCAATATTATTTTGGATCAATGATTATCTCATATCCAATATTGATGTTGTACTTGAATTTCGAACACATTTGCAACTCGGTATTATTAGTATTCAGAAAAAAAATTACTTAAACACAAACAAACATATGTAATGCTAAAACCTTTTGTTATCAACTATTTTGGGAAGAAGAAAACAAGCCAGTTTTTAATATTTTAAAAGATTTTAGACGCATATATTTAAAAGTAACTTAGTAAAAATAATGATAATGTTATAATTGTTTTCAATTATGTGATATAAATAAATTAAATATTTTTTGAAGCTTCTTTTGTGACCTTCTTTTTATGTAACAGAATATTTTAAATTCATGTTGGATACATTTTTACATAATATCGTAACGTTACATGTTTCTCGACCTTGTCATGTTATCGGATAACAGTATTTTGTGGATGTTTCACGTTTTAAATTATTTCGTTTGTTATTCTTATTGATGCATTTTATTATACATTATGTATAAATAATTTTAAATACATACAAATACAAAGTTTTTAACATATATATGTACATATATGATTACAATCATGAAACAACTTAGAAATTTACTGTTCTTCGGCGATAGAAAGATATTGAAGCTAATTTTTGGTTCCAATATTTGATTATAATTATCGGGGTACATGTAACAAATTTCAACATTTAATCATAAAACACTTTTTCACAGTTCACCTTAGGTTTTACCTCTAAATGAGTCTGTAATTTTTATAAAGTATGCTAGTAATATTTGCATTTATTTAAATAAAGAGAAACAGAAACGATGAAATAGATGACGTAATCATTATAAATATTGTACAGTCAAGCAAACATTTAGAAATAAAATAATTAACCACAATATTACTATTAAGACAAGAAATACATTATTCAAAAAGCACAAATTAAAGGATTTCAAAAGTAGACGTGGAATTTATCAATTAAACATACATGTACTAAACAAAACAAATAAAATATTTGTAACCGTTGTTCGTGTAATAATAAAAATAAAATACTTGTAATCGTCGTTTTCCCCTTGCTATTCTAGGTGTGATAAATAGCTAGTTCTTTTTCACAAGAGTTTTAACTTCAACAAATTTGGTAACATTAAGTACCATCTGATCTCTACACAAAAAGACATAGTGATTGTGGTTCTCGAGGATCATATGAAAGAAAAGTCTCCACATTTAAAATATTTTTTCAAAGAAACGACTCGTAACGGCGTCTTAGAATACTATTAATTTCTTATAGGTGAAAAATAGATATCAATTAAAATGAAACTAATATTTTCGGATATTACTTGAGATATCTTTCATCTCGTCTGCCCGTGATCACGGTTGCTTGAAAATAGCCGAAACGTCGGGAGTATGTAGTTTCTAATCAAAAATAAAAAGCGAAGTAAAATCTGAAAACATTAGTTTCATTTAAATGAGTACTCGCGAAAATCTTAGATCTCATTAGATATCAATTCGCTAATATTCCTACACATAGGTTTACTTTTATTAAATTTCGATTAACAACATGCCTTTCCTCTTACATTGAAGACCTTGCTATAATGAAATCTAGAGGCAAACGTTGATATTATCGGTTGGGATTTTCACAACATATTTCTTTAAGTGGGTACTGTGAACCATTATTGTGAAATAATGACCAAGCCAAATGGAGATGTTCCGTATCAAGAAAGAATTATTATTAAATTAAGTTTATCTGAAATAAGATAACAGTGTGCCCGTTATGAAACTAAAAAATTCTTTATAGAAGAATCCAATTGATTACCAAATATTACCTAACTTAATATCAAGTAATTAACAGTATTTATGTACACAGAAAGTGATCTTGAAAATAATTTTCATTTCTACCCATCCAAATAATAATAATTTTGCCTCAAATTGTTGTTTTGAGGTTATCGTTGATAGAGTTACCCATATTATTTTTTTGTTGTCAAAAAGGGGAAGTGACACATTTAAATTGACTGAAATGACTAAACTACCAAGTGAACATAAATCACTTTAAAGTTTTTGCAGTTGTGCTCTTATGTCAAAAATTCATTAAAGTTTCTATTTAAGAACCTTAAGGATTCAAAACACAATTTTCGTATAAAATTCTAAATAATATTATTTAACAGCTTAGGTTTTATAAATGGAGTAAAATAATGAGAAAAATAGAGACTAACATAATTTTGTAAATATAACTTAATCAGAAGTCATTTCCCAAATTGTTTCAAACAAACTGAACAGAGGTAAACTCCGCAGCTTAATGCAGAGAAGTTAATTACAGTCCCGAGTTAATGTTGAATTGTAGGTAAAATGGACACAGTAATTTTCTCTGATACATAAAACGGTGACCGCAATTCGTGAATCCAAGGACCTTGACAAAACACATCGTTTAATATTTAAATGCTTACACCATTATCAAAATATTTCATCAATGAAACATACCACAATAAAGCAGTAGTTGATTATATTGAAATACATTTAGTGAAAGCAACAAACGATTTTATTATTTTACAAAATCTTCAGATTCCAAAATTCAACTCGCTTCCCAGTACCATTTATTTAACATCATCAAATTTAAAAACACAGTCATGGGTGACATGTCCCAGGAAAATGACGAACATTCATTTCCTATTATAATTTAAGCTCTTGCTTGGAGGTTTTTTTAAATACCTTTCGTGTACACGGTTGGTAGCATTTATTAATAGTAAGCACTGTAAAGTTGGAACTGGCGACTTTATACGCTATGTTATATTTCGTTCATTACCTGTTACTCTTGTAATGATATTATAAATGGTACCTACAAGCAAAATAATATGGGAAGATTTTCATTACATAAATTTTTCTTACATTTAATTGAGAAATCAGAGATAAAATAATTAGTTTTAGTAAATAAACAAATACAAATTACATTTTATTGCTTTTAAAACTTCGTCTCAGTATATTATTTAAAATTATAAACAAAATTTGACTCTTGGAACAAAAACTTGTAATTGATAATAAAGTTAGTTATAGTTTATGTTGAATAAGACAGTATTCAATATGAACTATAACAACATAAACTGTAATAAATAGAAGATGAATATAAATATGTTAAAATACTGTAACACTATTGAAGAACGCCTATAGTCCATTCCTTTTTTACGACTTTGACTCGGTAGTTATTAAAATAGTTTCAAAGAATAGAATCAGAATATATCCTAAATTAAATCTAACTAATTATTCATCAGTTCCGAAAGTATATTTTTTTGTTTTACAAATTTTTATGTCCTTTAAAAACAAAGTCATTTAACCAAAACTTCTGGATCTTGTTAGTCTTCACAGGTTTTACTTTTAGAGCAAATGAGAAAATATTGCACTTTGAAACGAGTGAAGCAAGAATAAATCTTCAACGTGCACTGGATTTTCGACTTACCACTTCTGCCATACCATATTAGTAATTTACGTGTTATCCATGATAGATTCTCATCCTGTTCTAAGACTATACAAGAGCATTTGTAAGGTTTTATAACTTAGATTTTTTAAATATCAATTTTCTTAAAAAACCGCTATGCTAAAAGAGAATATAAAAAAATGAAAACAATAAAATATAACAATAATATAAAATTTAATTATAAAGTCTAAATTCGTACACAGAAGTATTATTTAGTAATGAAAACTTGCATCGCTACCACATTTTTTTAAAACTCAAAAAATATATTTAGCATAATCAAAATAAAATAACTCGCGAAAATTTACATAAACGCAAAAGCAAAATGTATTTTCACTTCACAAGTAGACGGATGTATATATACTAAATATAATAATAAAAAGGTGAAATAGTCCAAAGATATTCTATTATAATTAAAAATTAATAAACTTTACTCTTTCTAAGGAGTTAAATAATTCCCCACTCTAAATAGTCATCAACTATTCCTTCAAATCTTTCAAAAAAACTGTCGTGAAGTTTTATTTTCATATCCGTTACATTATCTTTAAAATCTGGAACTGCATCTTCACGAGTAAAACAAAATGGCAATCCGTAAAAGGCCACAAGGAGGCCTACTTCAAGATGATTTTCGAAATCTTCTAAAAATAACTTTTTTGGGTAAATTTTATCGACGTCCATTTTAAAAAAATTGAGGTAATTCCTTAAAGTGCCGTGATAAATATTTTTTAAATAGGTCATGTGTTTCTTGCGAAATGCTCTGTCAGTACACATATAGAAAAAATATAAAAGATCAAATACTGGAGATCCCCAGAAGATCAGTTGATAATCGATGAGTATAGCCTCAGCAGATTCAGAGCCCTGAAAAATACATACATTTTTATAAGGATTGCTATAAAAATTGATGTTATTTATATAAAATGTAAATATTACTTACTTCCTCTTTAAATAAAATGTTGTTTATTCTAAAATCAGAATGACATAAACATTTTACTGAACCTGTTTTTCCTTGGAAGTATTTAGGTAATTTGTCACATATTTTATTACTGAAATTCATTAATTTCTTTTGAATGTCAGTATCGAAATATTTTACAATGTCATCACTTAACATTTTTACTAATTCTTTCATGGAGTCATTAAATTGTATAGGACATTGAAGTTTTTGAAGTTTGTTATAACAATAGTCACTTTCTTTATGTTCCAATACAAAAGATAAACCGTGAAATTTCGCTATTTGTTTAATTGATGCAACAGCAAAACTTAAACTTACAACATCCATTCTGTTGCGGACTTCAAACCCTTTTTTACTAAGGTTTTCAAGAATGATTGCATCTTCATTACTCTCGTTATAACTATTCACCACTTTAAATCTTTCACCAGAAGGTATAATAGCTTCATCTTGTAAATTACTATAAACCTTGCTCAGTTCATTGTATACAAAAAGTTCATTCTGATAGATAGAATTCACATTCACAACACTTTCAGTTGGATTCATTTTTATAGCTTGCTTAACGAACAAGTTTATCTCTTTCAAACCTTTGACAGTAGTGCCTTTTACATCAACTTCATATAAATCTCCAAGATAATTACCACCGTCCGTTGACAATTTTTTTATAGATATTTCATAAGACTCATACCCTTCTTTTGCAATTATTTGTTGTAAAGATTCTTGGACACTCGAATCCATTAGTTTATCAATTTCCTCTTCACCTATAGAACATTTCGTTTCGTGTACATTAGTCAACATAGTATTATTTTCAGTTCTCATTTTAAATGTAATAACTTTCAAAACGAGAGGAGATTAAATTTATTTTAGATAATTCTTAAGTAAGACCATTAACAGTGTAATGAAGTACAGCGTAACTAGTTATATTTATAAGTAACGAGGAAAGAATTTGTATTTTCTGTGTCATGTTCATAAAGTTCATCGTCCGTTAGGCTAGGTTTATACAGAGATATGATTTTATCTGGTATGATATTAATTTATTTTATTTATCATCATAAAATTATTGCTTTTGTTGTAATTTATATTTTATATATAGAATTAAATTTCATTTCATTGCTTTATACATTATTTAATATTTTAATTTATATTGGTTTTGTAAGGAATAACTTTTGTAAAGAATTCTATGAGCAATTTTAGTGTTCTAAAAAGGAAAATTTTAAATGAAAGAAATTAAAAAGATGATCACTACTTTTCTACATAAACTTTTTGAAATATTTATATTATTCACAAATGTGATGCGCCTTTAGTTTGATGGTGATAGTAATATTATTATCATCTGATCAAATATGAAAACATAAAACCTAAATTTTATTTAATTAACTCACAAAATATTTATTATGGCATTATAGAGATAAGTTAATAATGATGTTATGAAAACAAAACCAAATCTTATCTGACGGGCTATTTTTTCATTTTCATAAAGTTATAAATGTTTTTTTTTTTATAAAATAAAATAACTTTATTTATGTTTCTCTTAATAATATAATTTGGTGTGTTTATGAGTCAAGTATCTCGATTACATAAAAATTGTTAAATCAGATAATTTAGGTTATAAACCAAATTAATTGTATTGACTACATTTCAATTATTTACTCAACAAATAAACAATTCCATAAGCAGTTTATGATAGGAGCACAAAGTAACATAGAAGGGTTAGGATCATGTAAGAAAGTCCGAGACAAGAATATGTTGAAGTCAATATTCGTCAAGACGAGTTAGATAAATATAATACATGCAATAAGTTTAGAAATGTGAGTGGATAGACAAAGCAAATTTTTGTACCCCATTAGCACTAAAATTGCACACTTTAATTCATAATTGGTCGCCAGCATTGCTAAAATTCTATCTTACTGCTTTTCAGACGACTCTCCCAGTTCAGAGTAATTTAGTAAGATGGGGTAAAGTATCTAGAGGCTGGACACATCTGGACAATACTCACGCCGTCACGATTGGGTTCTAGAAATCATACGTGAAACGGTTAGTCTTTCCTTAGCCAGAGCGCAAAGGGAGATAACCAGTAACGAGCGATCAGTAGGTTTTGTGAGATAATATAGATAGTACGAGTACTAGAGATATAAAATCAAATGACAACCCTTACTCAACAAAAACAGTTAAGTCCAAAAAAACAACTTACAGTTAAGTTGTGAAAAAAATGTCATGTATAAAGAAAAGTATACGATGCAGCTAAAAAACAATTATATGATGTTTGCAAATTTATAACATCAAGTACAAAAATTGCGTCACGTATACAGTAATAGTAAATGTAGTATATAAATTCCTTCACAGAACTTAATTTTTCAAATTAATTGATATTTTTTTCAATAGTTATATCTCGAGTTAGTGGACTGTTTTCATGTTGTTGAACTGAGCTATCAGTCTTGTGGAAATTATGTTAAACCAACATTTTATACTGCGTTATAAAATTTTATTGTTCTTGCAAACATTACAGATAATAACCAAAATTTAACTATTTGAACGAGTTAATACATGGTAACAAATATTTAATATTATTTGCAGTCTATGTTTTTCATTTATTATTTGAAACATGTATAGAATATAATAACCAATTTTATTTGACTATAATAACCAATTTTATTTGTTTTACAATTTAGAAATAAAAAAATTTTAAACCAAGGCGAGAGCAAAGCAAATATATATTGATTCTTGGTGATTTTGAAAATTAGAATGCACCAAGCATTAGCGTTTTTTAAAAATATGCAATATCGTTATAAATTTTATCACATAATTTAATTAATTTTTAAGTTTGAACCTAAATCTAGTGATGAATTCTTAGTAATGTTGTCGAATTGACGGATACATTAAAATACACAGTTGGATTTACTTATACATTTGGTCAACAGTAATCTCAGAATATTTATGATAAGTCTAAAAATAGTTCCACCTTCCCAAATCTGTAATCAGTACTCTAATAAAATCATAAAGCCTATAAGTATGCTTGATCAGAGTATTTCTTCTTTACATTACATTTATTTGAATCAAATCTTATCGATTGTCAACTAGATCAATGGTATTGTCATGTTATTTATGATATCCTTAAACTTTATTACACACAAAATCAATACATATCGCTTTTTAAATCATTTATAAAAAAGTCTTTACTTTCAAGGTAGTAAATTTCAATGAAAATTTACGTTCTAAAGATAGGATGTAGTTAAAAGAAAATATGCTAGATACTTCCTTGGGTTGTATGTAACATAGTTACGGACATAATCACTATACTTTTTCTTAAAGTAGTAAAATTCTGACGGGATTAGCATTATTAAAAGAATCAAAGGTACAGAAGTTTAGACGATTAGTATATACTTAGTCAGTTAGCTGGAGTTCCCCACCGACTGATCTGCTCACCGTAGGTGCGATTTACTCGCACTGTATTGTAGATAAGCAGACGCCACGGGACTCCAATATATCATGGCTTCTTGGTTACCGTCTGGATACGGTTGCATACAGTAAAAACTGCGCAAATCCTTTAGCACAACTCTGGAGTTCCGCAGGTTATAAATCCTCACCTTCTAGACCTGGTGACCTGTCGGTCATGGATGGGGCAGGATCTCATGCGAAGTGTTACAGATATGATTTTATTACAACAACATCGTGTGAGTCTCCATGGTCAACTTCTGGAAGAAAATAATCTCCGCGAAGGAAACTGGTGAGCGTATCAGTAATGATGCCTTTTCCGTTGAAGAGTGCTCTTGTGAACTTATTATGGGTTAGTTCCACCACAGCATGACGGTCGAATGTTCAGTGATAATTGGGTGCTTTGGTGCACTTACATATTTAAAGAAAGACGTTATAATGTAAATATGAAAAATGTGTTATAATAGTAAAACTATTATATTAAAGGAGGTCGAAAGTATTGTATACAATTCTGGGACCAAAATGTAAAAACATGAAAATAGTATTAATTAAAAGGTTCGAAATTAAGAGTTTCTTCATTGAAAATTCTATAGAAATTGACAATCAGATAGCTGAGTTATTGGAGGTTCAGTAAAAGTGAGGTTATATTTCATTATCTTTAAGAGTTAGATGAATACACTTAAAACTATGTGAAAAATAATAATTTTATTTAGAAGAGAATATCTGATAAGTTATAACAAGGTAAGAAAGACTCAAAGACATACAAATATCGGTAATAAGTATGGAATTTTACGAGGAACAGGAGGAGTGAACTATGTGATAAAAGTCATAAAATAAAACAAATAATTTTAATGGAATATATTGTATTTTATTCCTCTTCAATAATAATTAAAATATCGTCTAGGAACTGTACAGGGGGTACAATGTTACTAGTTGCTATCCTACAATTCACACATCGACCCATCGTTTCAGTAATATCCAATCCACAAGCCGGCGAAATAATCCAAATTAACAATTCCAAGTCAAACGTGCAGACGATCGTCGGTGTCCAATGTGAAAGCAAGGGTCGTAAAACGTTAGGCGGGTTCGGAGTCCGTAAAAAACAAAGCAGTGGTCGTTGAAAACGTAAAATGATCGGGAAAGCACTCGAAACGCATCGAATAACACGAAACAAGTCAGACTTAGATAACAAATAACAAAGCACATAGATAAATACACTATATGACATATGACAATGCATCTGGCATGCATGGTAATTGTTAAGTGTCAATGTCATGTTGCCATAGACTATATACTGAATGATTTCGATCGATATGGAATCGATAATCGAAAAGGATGTTTTAAAATAATATTTAATATTATTATTTTATTAATACACGTTACTAAAAGTTATTTTTATTGAATTGTAGACATATATGGTGTAGTTTAAATAAAGTTATTATAAGTTTAAAACTAGGAGTGAAGTTTTAATTTTGTAGTTAAATAATAATCGATTAATCATTTTTATTTAATTAATCGTTAATCGATTCCTTCATAAAAACAGTTATTTGTATATTTCTCCGCTTGTAGATTGAGAATTTATGCAGATTTTTGGTATTTCATACAGAAAAAATAAAGTTATTTTTTAAATCAATTTTGAACTCATTACATTTTGAGCCCACAAGTTTCCATCTCCTTTTCGAGCTATTAAAGTACTGTTTCTATTTAAATAATTCATGTAAATTTTAAATTTATTTTTTTGTAAAATTTAAAGATCAATGAAAAACGTTTGCACTTCATTTATATTGACTTAAATTTTAATGTTTACTTATTTATTTATATATTGAAGTGATTGTAAAATAATATATATATATATATATATATATATATATATATATATATATATATATATATAATGAGCTGATATATTTTTTAAAATACAAAAACATTTTATCTATATTTAATATATAAAAGAAAGTCGTGTTAGTTACTCCACTTATAACTCAAGAACGGCTGAACCGATTTAGCTGAAAATTGGCAGGGAGGAGTTTAGAACCAGGAAATTGTAATAGGATACTGTTTATCCCGTTCGACAGCATTCCCGTGGGACTTGACATGAAATGTCAGTCACTATAAAACTAAATAACGAAACAGAATTGACAGCAATGCAATTGACGTATAATGACAGATATGTAGTGACGTAATGATGACAATTAGACATTGTAAGAGATCTACTATATAAAAATAAGTTCGGTTTTCCATCCTGACGCTATAACTTCAGAACTTTTCCACGGTTATGCATTCGTTGGAAAGGTCTCGGGCTCCGTGAGGTTTATAACAAAAAATTTCAACAGAAAAGCGTAAAAATCTTTTTTCACATACAGCGCCATCATACATAACATGTACTA